TCCCGCCGCCGCCGCCGCCCTGCCGAAACAAAGAAAGCCGAGGCTCCGTTGTCCAAGCCCCCCGGCATGAGCAACGCCGAGTGGAAGGCGGATGTGGAGCGCCGGGAGGCCGTCACCGCCGACAGGCACAACAGGGCCAAGAAGGCCAAGTAAAAAGCGGCGCACCAACGCCGCTGTGAAACTCAAAGCTCAAGACGCCAAGAAGAGGAACAACGACCTCGCCTTCTTGATGGGCGGCGCTGACATGCTCGAGAGCGGCGACGAGGGCCAAGGTGGGCTTTTTTGATGACGAACAGCGACGTCAAACTCGACTTGCTCCGCACCAACGCCGCCGTGAAACTCAAAGCTCAAGACGCCAAGAAAAGGAACAACGACCTCGCCTTCTTGATGGGCGGCGCTGACATGCTCCAGAGCGGCGCCGAGAAGCTCAAGGCGTGGTTCTTGGCCGAGCGCGGCCTCATCCTGAACCAGATACCGGCGACGCCGATGCCGCCACCCAGCCCGGCGGCTGATGACGATGCCTCTACGACGCCCAGCCCCACCGACGATGCCTCCGCCGCGCCCAGCAGTACAGAAGCCACGCCGAACAGCCCGGAAGCCGCGTCGACTCCTCCTAACCCGCGTACGCCAATGATGACGCCGCCGGAGGTTGAGCTCGACGTTTGATGTACTCCTTCCGCGCCCTTCCTTTTTTGTACGCTGAACTACATCGTATCCTTTTATTTTGATCACCTAACTGCGGCACCGAATCACCGAACTATTGCGATGATCACCGGTTTGTTGTTTCTTTGAGCGGGAATGATGGATTTCGAATATGGAGCGCCTTTGGGGGCGGCACCTAGGCGCGTGGCTGGGGAGAAACGAACCCCAGGGGCTGATCTAGCGTCGGCTCACCCTCAGGCCGCTTTTTTCGGCGTCCTGGGGGGCCGAACGGCTGGAGATGCTCTAACCCGCGACCACTCCAATGATAACCTATCCCGGTAACTTTGATCCAGAGAAAAAAAAACTGGCGAAACATACCACGGTAACTTTTACGTAAATAACACGGTAAATTATGCACCGCAGTCATGATAATTTCCTTACAAACACCTTGATAATCTTTTACCTAGGGATTTTTTTTGTTAAAAACATATCCTGGTAATTTCTTGTAAATACTCCATGAACCTGATAATTTATGTACAAAAATCATGCTAACTTTTTTTTGCGAGAAAATTTCTGATCTATTCATCTTCAATTATGACAGTACAACGAATACCAAAAATAATAGAAATCACATCCAGATCCGTAGACCACCTAGCGACAACTACCAGCACTGAAGCGAGCCGAAGGCGTGCCGCCGTCATCGCCCCTCCATCACCGGAGTCGGGCACAACTTGTTGTAGTAGACAGTCGGGAAGTCGTCGTGCTAAGGCCCCGTAGGACCAGCGCACCAGAACAGCAACCGCCGCAGATGAAGAATAACGTAGATCAGAAAAATCCAATCCGAAGACACACGAACGTAGACGAACAACGACGAGATTCGAGCAAATCCACCAAAAATAGATCTGCCGGAGACACACCTCCACACGCCCATCAACGATGCTAGACGCATCGCCGGAACGGGGGCTAGGCGGGGAGACCTTTATTCCATCTTCAGGGAGCCGCCGCCGTCTCGTCTTCCTGAGCAGGACACAAACCCTAGCAAAATTGAAAGAAACGATTAAAAACGGAGCCCACCCGCCGACCCGTGCCGAGATCCACTGCGCCCCCATG